ACCAGGATGCTTTTGTTTTCTAATTTAACTTGAGGAAACAAAGGCACAGTACTGGCAAAATACTCAGAAATGACTCTGCATACTGAACGTGTATAGCCATCTCCATAATAGCTGGTGGGACAATAAATATGTCTGTCTTGAGTGCGTCTACTCATTCTGGACCAGATAGAAATGTCTTCCCTGAACATTTTGGAAAAAATAAACTAGATTCACTGATGTAAAATCATTTTACATTTACTATATTGTAATGAGCAGAGCCTACTACTTCAAAGCCAAGGTGGATTTACAGCATGACCAAACTATAACAAGAATGTCTTCCAAACCGGAATCGTGAAATTCCCTGACAAAGAATATGAAGTGAGAAACCAAACCAACTTCCTCCTGTGGTCTCTGCTCAGTGCTAGAGTTACAGCAGACCCCACAGTTACATAAGAGATGTCCAAATGCTTAGGTCTGCACTGGCAAGCAAGGAAAAAAAATCAAGCGCAGGAATGCAATCTGAGCAATCTGTCAAAACGGGGCTTCACTTAGGATTGTCGAGTAATTCCTAAATTCGCCTTCATTTTGCCACATGACATGGAGGCACTGGGTTTTTGCTCAAACTGGCAGTGACTATTAATCAGCAATTCTTGATAATAATTCTGAACAGCTCCTATGATGAGGGTGCCCAGGGGCTAAATTAAAAAATCCTTAAAAAACTAGGGAGCATCCATTGACACCAATATATGAGAAGGTGCCTAGAACCTACAAAGTAATGCGGCTTATCCCCAGAGGATCAATACCACATCTAATTTGTGAAATGACCTCTCCGGTTCCATGCTGACTCATTCGTCCAGCCATGATGCCTCTCCTGTCTCAGCCTCCCCGTAGGAAGGTTGGGGGAGAGAGTCCCTCATTTAAATGAGAAGGGTACTGTGAGATAAGGTACACATGTGAGTACCTCTGAGTTCCTTGCTGAAAGGCAGACCTGAAAATCTTATTTCACTACCCACTCCAAAACAAACCATTGGAAATAATAAAGACAATCCTGATAAGTGTTTCACACATGCACATGCTTAAGTTGAGCATTTTCTTATAGTTCTTGCCTGATCCCTTCTGTCACCCTGCTTCCACTCCTTTCCTTAAAAAATACACATGCTACAGCAATGGGAAATCTCTGCTCTCTCTCGCTGAGCCTGCTTTGTGAAGACAAGAGCATGAAAAAGGATAAGTGGACATGATCTGAAGCAACAATATGCATAATTCTTTTTTTTTAAAAGATTTTATTTATTTATTTGAGAGAGAGGGAGAGTGAGAGGGAGAAGCAGACTCCCTGCTGAGCAGAGAGCCCGATGCGGGACTCGATCCCAGGACTCTAGGATCATGACTTGAGCTGAAGGCAGACGCTTAACCAACTGAGCCACCCAGGTGCCCAACAACATGCGTAATTCTTAACAAGGTTTACCCTCCTTAGTATTTCAGCCAGAGAAAGTTTATTCACCCCTTTGTGCTGACTGGCTTCCTTAACATAGGCTAGTAGTAACATACACAAAAAGAATTCTGCTTATGAATTTGTAAACATCTGCCCACAGTTGCCCCACGCCACATTAAAGGACATCTAGTGGTGACAGCAACCGTTCAAATGCTGGATAATTTAAAACACGAGAGGAGCCACTTCTGATACCACTTCCAAAGACCACTCTATAAAGAGGATTTTAAGTAAGTATATCAATATATGATTTTTATAAAGACTAATGAATTAGATGGTGAAAGCTAAAAAAAAACAATATCAAATCAGCCTCTTTATGGAGTGCCAAAACTGACTGTTCTCTATGAGAATATATAATGTGAAGGCAAAAGAGAAGAGGAAGAGACGATGAAGACATGCTTGCCTTTTGAACTTTCTGAAGGCAGTATTCTTCGGTGGTTCTGAAGTCCTATGCTTACAGGAAAGGCTGGGAAGCCTTGAAAATCCATCTGATTGGCTTCATTTCTTGAGAGACACTCTACTTTTGTAGTGTTTGGGGGGTAAACCCGACTTCAGCCTTTTAAGGAAGGGATGGATCCTACCAGAACTCACATCAAAAGCAAAAGTACAAGAGGAATAAGGAGCACTACCATGAAACAGCTCTACAGTCTGGACATTTTCATGTTGTGGTCTTGTACACAGTAGTCTAATTTAACAGGTGACACTGATTACTGTTAATTTTTGCTTCTTTCAAAATATTTTGACCAGAAAATCTGAAAACAGGATGTAAGCTGCCAAAAATAAAAATTTTTATAGCCTTTTCAAGAGATGAGTGGAAGAAGGAAACTAAAGGCAAACTTTCAAAATATAACTGCTATAGGTATTAGCTATTTATACTTTATTATTCATCAAAAACAGAATAAAACCCCAAAATGAAACAATTTACAATCTATTCTGTTTGGCTGAACAGTTTATGAAGGAATAAACTGCCAAGAAAAAAGAGAGTAGCAGGGTTTTATTTTGTTTCTTGGTTATACAACAGGAATTATATCCTGTTTTGCTTAAGAAACCTTAAATGCTAAAGAAGAAGAGCTTTGGTGTCATTTTTATTACAGATGAGGCATAGCTGAACCAAACATAATTTGTAGGTAATTTGTAGAATTAATTCTCAGTGCAAATTCCAAGCCTAGCTTAGCAATGATTAAAACTATTAATTGGTTTGGGACAAAAGAAAATATTCTTAAAAGACCCTTACCCCTTTTTCGAATACTTATATTTCAAGTTGCTATACAATGAACCAAATGTTTATAAACATTTTGGTATATACAGGCATATACCCAGTATCTACTAAATGATCACAACAATGGACAATCTACTGCTGAAGATGCTATGTATCTGACACCCTATAAAATGGAATCCCTCAGCAGTACTACAGGAAGAAGTGGAAAGATGTACTTGATTCATTTATCTATCTTTATATCTGTGTGTATTCTCACCATGTGCAGAAATTTAAATATCTTCTTTAATCAGAATTGTATGTATGACCTCAAAGCTTTACACATAACTGATCCCCTTAATGAGCATCAAGGAAATAACTTTGTCCAAAATACTGTTTCAAATAAGAACTCTCTGGAAGAGAACAGGTTCCTATTTAGTTTTTACTGATGGATGATGTTTCATAGTACCTCGTAAAGGCTTAATAAATGCTGTCTTTTCAACTATCCACAACACAAACTTCCTAGTTAAAACCATGGAATACCAGGTCCTAGAGTTATGTTAGTCAACCTAGGGCAGTTTCTTTCCCAATTTCAAGAAAAAGGTAAAAATGGCAACTTTAATAATATAAGAAGTCAAATCCCAAAAAAGAAAGAATTTTTATAAGTATGAAACTAATCTGGATCACCAAGAGACTTCCTATACATTTAGCTAACTACCAAAAAAGGGACAGCCAAAACCTCATGACTAAATATGAAATCAAATGCATTTTCCAAACAAAACTAGATCCAAACAGACATATGTTACAGCCTCAAATCTGAAGTTTAGACATTCTCGTCATGATACTTTCCCTGGTGTATCCACATAACTTGTTATCGCTGGATCCAAATAACTTGTCAGCTCAGGGACCACGCTATGTAATGCCAACAGAAAGTTGGGATCACGTAGAAATTTCTCACTTGCTTTGGAAATGTTAGTCAAACCAATGCCTATTCATTCTACCTCTTAAATATGCCCCCGCTCCCCGCCTTCTCGTAGCTCAGGTGGCCTTGGAGGGCTTTTAGAAGCGGCACCCTCTCAGTCCCACTGCCCTCGTCTCCCACCTCACCCTGACAAACTTCCTTTCCTGCAGCTCAATGAATTACCTGTGGTTCCCATAGCACATTATGCTTCCTCCCATCTGTTTCTGGACACACTCCTCTCTGCCCTAGAACACCTTTCTCCTCTTCTCCCCACCCTGCCTAAGCCTACCTTACACATCATCAAAAATGGACCTATTCTGGCAAGCCTCCCCTCTCCCAGTCCTTCCAGATTTCTCTCTTGGGCGGACTGGGGTAGGCAAGGGCCCTAAGACACTCCTTTCCTATGGTCCCAGAGCATTATATCACAGTATCTGTCATACTATCTTACATTTCCACCCCTAAGACCACAAGCTCTTTGAAAATCAGAAGCTGTATCTGTTTTATCTTCTGATCCTAAGGTTTAACAAAGTGCCTGTGCATCACAGGAAACATTCAAGTAAAGCTGTTAACAAGATAAATAAATGAGAAAGAAAAGCCAACAGGACTTACGAATATAGTAGTACTCTGATTTCACATTAATAGATTTTTACCCTTAGAAAACAGTAAAAATATTAAGGAAGAGGATGAACATAGATTTCTCATAATATATTACAAAAGATGTCTTTTATATTAAATAGATTATATAGAAATTAGATTTGAATAGACTAAGCTGCTGAGAGTAACTGATATAATTCTACACACTATCACAAAGAAACTAAATACTACAACACAAAAATATTATATATTTGGTTTTCATTTGTTCCTAGTTTTCATGTTTGAACAGTACTATGTCAAAAGTAACTATACACATTCTTTGACCATAAGTTCCACCAATTACGTCAGAGAGGATCAAAATCAAAATATACGTGGACCCTACAAATTGCTTTTGAAAATATATATAGACTAACGGCTACTTAGCGCTAATCCATGAAAGATGAAAAGCAACATTGCTCCTAATTGTGAAGAAGACAATCCTGCCCACGCCCCCCAATTCTAACATTTTGTTAAATGGCTCTAAAACACAAAAGCCCACAGTGACATTAATTCTTTTCCGTCAATCTGAACGGTGAGGCTCATGTATTTTTCGGTTGTGATTCAAACCTGAACATGCCATAATCTGTAAAAAGCACAAATCAGAATGTCTTTTAACACAGGCAAAATGACATCCTCAGTTCAAAAGGAGATCTCTATTTCCAACATTAGACAAAGTCATTACATTATAATAAAAATCATGACCAAGTTGGGAATGATGTTTTGAGGTCTTTGAGAATCCTTACCTAATCCTATTCGGTTTGGACTTGTTTCTCGGCTACATCCCTGACTCCTGGGAATCTTGCTTCGTTTTTCTGAAGAGGGGGTCACAGGTGGGCCTCTTGAGGAACCCCCAGCAAGGCCACCATAACCACTTCCCAACAATTTCCCTGGGGAACTTGACCGGCTGCCGGCTAAAAATGAAACAAAACAAAACTGAAGAATGGCTGTAAATCAGGGACTAAACTATAACAATTTCAGAAGTCAGTAAACACATTATTTGGATCAAATACTTTTATATAAAAATGGCTTTTTTTGTTGGTGGTAGTACTATTTTTTTTTACATGGAGCATAAAAGAACATCAAATATCATAAAAGAATGTCTATACAAAGAAGAATTACAGGTGGAGTCCTACAAAAATGACAGTAAAATTTCTGATTCAAAGAGCAGGCTGAGTACAAACAGCTCCCTGTTCCACAGCAAATTTCTACAAATAATCACAAAGGTGTTTATTGTTTCGTTTTTTTATTCTATAAGAGTTGATATGTGAAAAATTTTAAACATAACCATTAGAAGAAGAGAATTAGAAGTTTCTTAAACATTACTGGAAGAACAGATCCAAGGACATCCCATTAGTTTAACAAATGGAAGAAAAGGAAGCAGGAAGGTAACTAGAAACATGGTAAATAAAAAAATCACAAAATAAAATGGTAGGAATAAACTCAAACATATCACTAATCATAATAAATGTGGCTGGATTAATTTCATCTATTAAAAGACAGAGATTCTTGGATTGGCTTTTAAAAAAATGAAACTCAACTGAATGTTGTTTATAAAAAATAAACAACATACCTAATACAAAACAATAAAACAGAGTGAAACAGCATTAAAAAAAGGACAAAAGATATCTCATATTGATAAAAGAATCACAGTCAATGAAGACATAATAACCACAAACATTTATGCTCCAAGTAACACAGCCTTGAAATATAATACATAAAACTGATAAAAATATAGGGAGAAATTCAGGTCATAATTATTAATGCACCTCTAAGGAAAAAAAAACAACTAAAGAAACTAATAACTAATACACCTCTGAAATTGACAGAGCAGTCAAAATTATACAGATATGCATAAACACACGTCCCACATACACACACATGTACAACAAACAGAAGACATTCTTTTCACTTTTCCACACATATTACAAAAACCGACTATGTACTAAGTTTCAAAGGAAATCTCAGAAATCTACAAAAATAGAAATTACAGAGACCACATGCCCTGAGATGTACACAAGAGAATTAGAAATTAAAAACAAATCATATATAGTAATTTTTATAAATGAGTAAGTGGCTGGATAGCTTTATAACCATTTTTCATGAGATAACATTCTTTCTTAAAGAAAACAGCAAAATTTTAAAGATCACATCAATCCACCGAAATACACTCTCCTTATTAAGTAGAGAACGCAATAAAATTCTCAAACATAAAGTGCATGTTATTATGTACCAGAACAGAATGAACCAGAGATAAAAACCCTTAAAAGAACACTTAACCTGGAAACACATGCCTACACCTCCATCATTCAAATTAATCATTAAGGTGATCACTCACAAAAATTAGGACTTTATAATGACAGCTACAGTTTAAAGTGAAATTCATTATAAAAATCACTGGTATGCATCACCATGAAGAACCTGTCTCAGGATTTATTAATCTTATGCCCATAAAACTTTGAGCACCCAAATGAACTATTAAGCTGTGTAAAAGGAGAAAAGAAATCCATTCCAAACTCTAGAATTTGAACATACAGAAAAAATGCAGAAAAGACTGACTAAGCTCATAATAAACAGAGAAATTAATATTGTGCAAGGAACATGGGACATGGGGTGAAAAACGCAAAAAAAAAAAAAAAGGCAAGAAGAGAAACGGCTTACCACCAGCAGGATTAGCAGATCTGGATCCTTGATTATGAAAGCAGACCAAAGGACAGGCAAAAAGTGGATTAAAAGACAATAGCACAATACAGAAGGTCAGCATGCAACACAACACAAATGTCTTTGTTCACAAACACATTAGCAAAATAGTTTTTTCTTCTAGGTCTTTTTCCTCTTAGTCTACTTTTGTACTTATGTTTATTTTATTCACATCATACTCTATCAGCATTTATTTCAGGTCTGTTCATGAAACACTTAGGAACCTACAGTGTGCCAGGTCTGGTGCCAGGCGGAGGAGATGCAGAGAAGACAAGCGTCTTGGCCTCCGGGGAGGCACATCTCTCTAGTTCTGAGCAAGCGGAGAGAAGTGACTGCATCCTACTCATTTATGTATCCCTACCACCTTAACTGGTGCTTACCACATAGCAAGTGCTCAATAAACATCATGAATTCAAAGAAACTGCTACTAATTAGTTTCACCTGAACATCCTATGCCAAATCCTCAAATATTTAAATATCAATCTTCACATATTTAAATCCTCAAATATTTAAAATATGCTGTTAAGGGCCCTAAATCTAATTAATCTAATGTTAATGAAATCTACTTACTATTACACCAGGACTATGAATGCTAGTATATCTACATTTGTAAGACATATAAATATGCTCATATTTACTTCCTATTAAAATAATTTTTTTAAATACTTAATTTATATGCCTAAGTTTAAGACCCAGTCTTGATTACTGGCTGGTGTTGTCTCCCTTCCTGTGAGTGGAATTTAGTGAATCAAGTAAAACTGAAGACTTTTAAAGTGGAGCCCCAAGCTAGGGTGCAGTATTTCTACAAGACTGAAGAATTAAAGCCCTCTCCTTGCCCTCACCCCCACTACAGAAGCAAAGTAGTCTCCACCATCTCCTAAGCAGTGAGCCAGGCTAGGGGCAGGAACCCCTGCAGAGGCCAATGCCAATAAACAGCAGACATAAAGAAACGCACAGTACCGTTCAACCCTCCCTCTCCCAGAAAGGAAATAACACTGCACAGCTAAAGAACTAGACATTTTTTATTAAACTTCATTTTAACATACTAACCCATATTTTGAGTCTTGAACATCTTTGTCAAGAAAAATTTCTCTGCAAGAAGACCTGACTCATATTTATGAGGTCATGTGACCAGAGTACCCTATCCATCGGTGACCCCAGGCATCACTAGGGTTCAAAATAACAACCCGAGCCAGGATAGTGTTCCCAAGGTAGAAGCTGCTGGGCTACATACAGATGCACAGCCTATGTTGTGTTGTATATACCTGTGTGATACACCAAAAGCATGCGTTTCTGCATCAGACGAGCCTGGTGGCAATGTATCACCGATGTTACACTTTCTTTTCAGAAAGGTATTACACTTGTTTAACATGAGGCCTAGAGTTACCAGAGGGACATGGGAGAGTATCTGAATTCCCAAGGAGCTGAGAAGGGCATTCTAAATACTAAGGAGAACCTAAGGTTTGGCCACAGACTCTCTACATGAGCCAGACAGCTCCTGGGGCCACAGAGGAGGCAGACACATATGGGCTGGGGAGTGCTGCATGGAGGGACCGTGTGCAGCTCCCAGGGAAGGGGAGCCTTCCTCCAACACGCTCACCCTGCCCGGGAGAACTCGGACACCCAGCTCTACGCACAGAAGGAGTGGGGGACTCAAAGGCAAGTGTGGCTGGGAAATGAGACACCGGGGTGGTTCCTTAGAGCGATCTACATACACTCCTTCCACCTATGGCTGCTTTCATGGCCGATGCTAACAAGCCAAGTGACTCAACATGTACAGACAAGCAGTAATGGAAGCGAGAGCAGCTGGGCAAAGCGGGAGCCCACACTGGCAGGAAGAGAAGAGCAGGCTGCAAATGTTAGAACACAGGGTTAATGGGGAGAGCTTTTAATGGATTTGCTTATTACCACTGAAAGAGAACTCCACGTTAAAATAATCCCCAGGTACTGCTCTTAAATTGCATCAGAGGGAGTCCTTATCAACAGTAAAATGGGTCACAGCCCAGGTATGTCTCAATTTGAGATGCTTGAGGAAAGGGAGAGAAACCACGTTTCAATGTTTAATGCTTAATAATATAACATTTAAATCACCTGGCCAGGAGACAAAAGCATCCTGGAATACTCCATGTTGTAAGCTTACCCAACAAACATCAAGACTGCTCACGGCAGCTTAGAGCCACACAAATGTGTTTTTCCCCTGAAGTAATGAACATACTATCAATCTTTCAACTGTATAATGGGCTGTGGAACAAGACGGAGATAACAGTACAAAATATACTTCTTACGCTGGGACTGTGAAACCACTTTGGCGCGGCTGCGGCCTCGACTGTCAGGTGTGGTGGCCACACTGGTGGCGCTCCCGGAGCTCTGCCGTCTCGTGCGGATCCGACCTGGAAGAGGCAGCAGAAACGGTGTTTCCATCGTGTTTTCAGCCAGTGTGACCTACTCAAGAACACCACGCACACCACGAACAAGCGGCGCTGACGGGCCACCGGCAGGGGCGCGTGTCTTCCTCCGGTGTGGTCCTGACCCAGTTCCCTGTGTGCACATGCATGCGCATTCCGTCTGCACACTCAAGTTCTGCAGATACATTAGCAACTCCTGAGAGTGAGTCATGAACCTGGAAGGTGCTTCTGTTACAAGTATTCTAGCACACTATATTTTCCAATGAGGAGGTGATATCCACTTGAGGATTTTTTTTCCACAACTTTTTTCACATTAAACTCTCTTACCTACAAATCTGTCAAATTTTTTTTTTTTTCCATGTTTATTTATTTATTTGAGAGAGAGAGAATGAGAGAGAGCACATGAGAGGGGGGAGCGTCAGAGGGAGAAGCAGACCCCCCGCGGAGCAGGGAGCCCGATGCGGGACTCGATCCCGGGACTCCAGGATCATGACCTGAGCCGAAGGCAGTCGCTTAACCAACTGAGCCACCCAGGCGCCCTCTGTCAAATTTTCAAAGGCAGAAAATATTAGCTGTCATCTTATGAAAAATACTACAGGAAAAAGAGTAAATGCAAAACAAAGCAAAACACAACAAAAAAACAAAACCCTTAACTCAGCAATCAACAAAAGCTATAGCACCCTGGAGAATAAATGTGTTTTGATATGTAGCATTGAACTTCTATTTTTTTTTTTTTTTTTATAAAGATTTTTATTTGACAGAGAGAGGCACAGCGAGAGAGGGAACACAAGCAGGGGGAGTGAGAGAGGGAGAAGCAGGCCTCCCGCCGAGCAGGGAGCCCAATGTGGGGCTCGATCCCAGGACCCTGCGATCATGACCTGAGCCGAAGGCAGACGCCTAACGACTGAGCCACCCAGGCGCCCCGCATTGAACTTCTATTTTAAAGCATGTATGCCAACAAGTTTCTAGCTGCAAAAGATGAAGAAAGAATCAGCAGTATAGGAGTAGCGAGAGAAACAACGACCTAAAAATAATGGATGTCATAGGCACTTATGAAAAGAATTTGGCACTGTAAGTAAAGCAATCTGTTAACTCCCATTATTAAACCATGAAACCACAAAAACAAAAGTGAACTCAGAAATGCAAAATCATTGATGATCAGACTAGTTAGAGACTAAACTTTTTAAAATTCAGGGCTTCTTTGGTTTCAGGTGGGCACAAAGTGCCTCTCCTGCCATAATTCAATCAGAACAGCAATCTGATATGGAAAACACAAACCAACAGAACTCGCATTGGCATCTTACATTGGCTCAAGACCACTTCTACCTCATCATTTAAGAAAGATTACAGAAAAGGAATACAGGAAAACAAATCCTAAGGCTTGAAAAAGGTTCAGGAAGGGGAGGTACAGAGCAATAAAAGCACTGCTTTAAGAAAAAAAATTAAAACTAGAAAGAATAATTTTAATAGCAGTTTAAGCAAAGATTCACAAATTCTGGAATCTGTAGTAAGAGCTATATATATATATATATATATATATATATACAGACATCGTATTATACTAAGAGCTGTATATGTGTGAACTTGGAATCCTCATAAGAACATATAATTATTCCCATATTACAGATGAGGAAAGAGAGAAACAGGAGGATTCATTAATTTGTCCAAGGCCACACCACTGGTTTAGTTACCTGTGCCTGCCTGGCTGGCTGGCTGGCTGGCCTATGAGTGAGGGCATTTTACTTTCCTAAGGAAGTCACCAAGCTAAATCAAGGCAGTCACCAAGGCAAAGTGAACATGAAAAACCAACTGAATCTCACTTCCTATTTTAAATTTACTGTAAAACATTTAGGTCACAAAAAAGATATTTTAAATGAACATCCATACCCATTCAGCTTAAAAAATAAAAATCTTTGCTAGCGTCCCTGTACCCCCTATTTTCTCCCAACATTTGGTAACCTGATCCTAAACCCAGCATTCATCATCCCCTTGCATTTCTTTGAACTTTTAATATAGTTGTATAACCACAAAACAGATGGCATTATTTAATATATTTCAAATGCTTTTAATTATATCACAGGGTATATATTTTTCCAAAACTTAGACTGTTTTGCTCAACATTTTATTTGTGAGGTCACTTATGGAAATGATTTTTCTGTAGGAGGTAAAGGAGAGATCCATTTTATTTTTTCCGTATGACTAACCGACGTCCAAATAAATTTTCCTAACCCCTTTCTTACTGATCTACAAAGCTGTCTTTTGTCATTTTACCAAGTACTTAAATACATACGTAGGCTTGTTTCTCAATTGTCTAGTGTGTCCACATGTCCACACCCGTGCAACATCAAAATGTTGTGATGAGCTTAAAAAAAAATCTTGCTAATTGGAAATCAGCCCACTTTTTCCTAAGGCCTTTGCTCTCTTCCACATGGATCTAAAGATACAGTTTAAAAGGACCCGTTGAAATCTTAACTGGCATTATGTGGAATGCAGGGTTAATTTGAGGGATGGGGGCGGGTGGTAAGACAGCTTTACGATATTGATCTTTCCATGTTTTTCCCTTTATTTCACTTTCTTCAATGTCCTGCAACAAAGCTTTATAATTTTTTCTAAAAGTCTTACTCAATTTTTACAGACTTATTCAAAGGTGCCTTATTTTGATGACACACTATATTTTATTAAACTATATTTTCTAACTTCTTGACAAATGTGAATGTAATTAATCTTTATATTTTGATCTTAATTCTGGGAACCTTGCTAAACTTTTGTTAATTCTACTAACTTGTATGTAGATTATCTGGAGTTAGGTAAATAGAATACCATCTACAAACAAGACTTCAGTTTTTTTCCCTTCAAATTCTACCCTTTCATTTCTCTGCCTTTACCCCGCTGTCTCGGACATGTAGTATGCACCTACATGGGCAGGCTTCGTTACTTTGAGCCACATTAAGAAAAAAAATTCTGGAATTTCACAAAAAGTAGGATATTTCAACAGACTAAGAAAACTCCTTTTCCTAACTGCTAAGAATTTGCCAAAATGTTTGTTGAATTTTTTGATGCTTTCTCGGCATCTTCTGAGATAAAAGGATTCTTCCTTTAAATGTGCTGAGCTTCATCAGGAAGTTTCTAAGCTATTAAACCTGAGATAAACTCCCATGCTTATAATGTACACACTCACATATAACGCCTCAACTGTACCTTCTCTGGTTTAGTGCTAAGGCTACCCCAGCTGCATTAATGAGTGAAGTAGTCCCACTTTCTCTTCTTGGAGTTTATGGAAGACTGGGATTAGCCAATTCCTCATACAATTTGTATTTCTTAATCCTGTCTAGTGAATGTTTAATTCCTATTTCATTAACTTGTACTCTTTATTATTTCTTTCTTACTGTCCTTTGGGTTTATTCTGTTCTTTTTCTAACAAATTGGAAACAACCTCCTAATTGTTTCTCTTCTAATATAAACTTAAGGCTATGAATTTCCCTCTAAGCACTGCTTTTTTTTTTTTTTTAAAGATTTTATTTATTTATTTGACACAGAGAGAGACAGCGAGAGCAGGAACACAAGCAGGGGGAGTGGGAGAGGGAGAAGCAGGCTTCCCGCCGAGCAGGGAGCCCGATGTGGGACTCGATCCCAGGACCCTGGGATCATGACCTGAGCCGAAGGCAGATGCTTAACGACTGAGCCACTCAGGCGCCCAGCACTGCTTTTGCTTCATTTCATAAGGACTGATATGTAGTTCAACATAATGTGTTGCTTTAAAAAAAATTTTTTTTCTAGATCCCATTTGTTCATGTTTTGCTTTGGAAAAGTTAAGTTGGATCTGTACTTCACACTTTACACCAAGAAAAACAGCAAATGAACCTAAGATTAAAATGTAAAACATGAAACCACAGAAGTTCTAAAAAAAAACATAGGAGAAATCCTTTGTAACTTGTAATGGGAAAGTCCCTTCTAGTTATGACTTAAGATTAAAAGCCATTAGGAGTTCAGTAAGTCTGACTACTTAATTTTTTTGTAAAATCTCAGTATGACAAGAAGAAAACTATGAGCAAGTTAAAGAAAATGAAAAATTGGGAAAAAAATGTTTACAATTCATATCACAAAGGGCTAATTTCCTTAACATATAAAAGGTTTCTAGGAATCAACAAGAAGTCCACCAACAAGCAGTGTGCTGGTAAATGTTTAACAATTGGCAGGGGGCTGGGGAAGGTTCCTGCAGATTTGTGTTTTCCAATTTCCCTGGTGTTATTCCCACCATGGCCAATTTCCAGCTACTGACATGAAATCAACCAGATTACAAAATGTCTGAAAATTTAACAACTGGCTGTCATGAAATAGTCAAGACAGCTCCAACACACCACTGCCACAACCCAATAAAGAATGAACAAAAGCTAGGAAAAGACCGTTAACAGACAATAGAAATGGCTCTTGAGTGTCTGAAATATTGTTCAGCCTCACTCAATAAGAAAAAAAATTAAAATGACATTAAGAATGCCATTTATCTAACACCTACCAGAGTGGCAAGAATCTAAGACTGTGCTAATAGTCTAGCGTATAGGAAAAGAGGCACTCTCATTGGCATGTTTTAATCTGTGGGAATCCCGAGGAACGAGATTTGAGTGCCTTCCTCTATAGAAGCTCACTGCTCCTGTCCAGCACCCTTCAATTCATCAGGCTGGGGTTTCCCAGGCACCACAGATAATGAGAACTGAAACCACAACTTATGTGAGAAGTGAGCTCAGTTACAAATGAGGGGAGATTGGTTTTTTCCTCTGGCTAGGACAAAGTCAAGAGATACCACGTCAACCTGAAGATAAAGAGGTTTTGTTCCTAGTACACCTTTTCATGGATCTATAGCACCTCGACAACGCTGGCTCAATGCCAACCTTACCTCTCCCCTGAGGGGAGCATAACGGCTTGTTTCTTGTCTGCCACAGGGACTCACATGTGTCACTAAGACCTAAGGGCACCCTTAAAATCAATTTTGGGGAGTTAAAAGGGCCTTTTTGTGTTATACTCAGATACAGATTTCTTCTGTAAGGAGAGAGTCTGTTTGTTTTCCCTATATTAATTTGGTGATATTATTCTAAGTGCCTACATACGCCTTAAAGAGATGATACAAAATACTCCATGGTCTTTAAGAAAAACAAAATCTACTCAATAAATGCAACAAAGAGTAAAAAATATATTTAAGTTCTACATTATGACCTGTTACGAACATTCATATTCATACTGTGTTATGACAGAGAAAGTAGACATGAAAGAAAAAACGTACATAAAAGAAATAGAAATAAGAGGTATTAGAGAACTATCCAACAGAAAAAAAAAAAAAATTCTGGAGATGGACAAGAAACAAACCCACCCATCCAAACAAAAGCAGACCCAGAAGAAAACAAAGACCTGGAAGAGAGCAGCCTTTGACTTTCATGGAATGAAGACAGAACATCCATACCGAGCAGCTTTTTAAAAGAGCTGCTGAAGAATTTCTTCCAATCACACCGCCATTCTTCTAGAAGAGCCCTCAAAATGGGAAATAAAACCTGTGCACCCAATTTAACTTGCAGGCCTGGTTTTCGTACATTCAGTCCAAGGCAAATTAAAAAAAATCACTTATCAGACAGCCTCATGTCACTAGGGTTTCTGTCCTCCTTATGTTTCAAAATTTCAGGCAATTCTCAACTTAGAGGTTATAAAGATTAAAAGGTCTTGTAGGTAAATCTCCACTCATCACACTGGAGCCTTTTGGCATACATATCGGCTTTACAAACTCATGGCTTCAGGGCACAATTAAACCAACCTCTACTCATATGTGGCAATTTTGATAAAATCAAAATTTGGGAAGTTGACCCCTTATAAATTCTGTTACCTACAAGTACCATTCCCCCAAAGGAACAACTTTCCTCGTGTTTTTTAAAGATAAAACTAAAAGAAAGTTAGCATTCTCGTACTCCAACATACACATATTTTTTTCACTGTGTAAAAAAGCCAATCATTTAAAATTCAGAGTTCTTAAACATATAGCAATACCAAATGTTTTATGTCCCAATAAAACTGAACTAAAATCTAAGTTCCTTTTCCTAAAGAGCAGAGAAGGCTACATGGTAATTTTTATTTTGTAATCTTAAAAACCATGAAGAGGTAAGCATGATCATCTATTCTCTGAAATGATCAGTAAATTGTCAGCTCCTGTGGGTCATTCAAGCCCAGTAACCCTTCATTTAAAATTATGTGTTCCGGGAAAAAAAATATGAATAAGGCATTTCCTAAACCACAGGAGCTAAAAACCCTGAGTATTAGATGGGAGTGCACTCATTTATCACAGCTGCAACATCTCGTCACAGACTTTCCCACAAGCGGCAGAACCAATGACATAAATGCTTCCTTCTGAATCCCCCCAAATTATGCAAAGACAACCTGGAAATAAACTTCTGTCCACAAGATGAGCTTCTGTTGGTTCTTCACAAAAAATATTTTTTTGACTAGTTGCAAATGTGAAAAAGGCTACTTAATGGGTATGATAAAGAAACTCCCAAAGGAGATAAAAGTATTTTCTCCATTCCTACACTAATGAAGTGGCCAGAATTCAAATGCACTGTCTGAATTTTGACTTTAGAGCACCCAACTATAGATTCCCAGTCATATCTTTGTCTCCTACTGATGAAAGCATCTGTCTCTTCTGGTCTCAGGAACTAGACAGGAAAGTACTTCACAGGCTTATTATTATTAACAAATTTTAAAAAGGCCCATAAGGATTTCAAAAATTCAATTTTAGTATATGTGTGGCCGAAGCGAGCACAGGATTCCAAAAATTCAGACAGGAAACTCAGGACAACGTGATATTTACTATTTACTGCAAGTCATGATGTTTCATGCCTTTTCCTAAGAACCGCGTGCGGCTTTTCTGAGCACTGCTAGGTTTCACTGCTTCACAGCCAGGGTATCCTAGATGCGCTGGAGTGTGCGGTCCCCCTGCACCGTGTCCTTTTTAGGCTCGAGGCCTAAAGGTCTGATGTCCCGCCCTTGACAGCCTGCACAGCCCTGGGATGCAGAGAACAAGGCTCACCGGCTCCCCTCAACTAAGGCTGTCTTCCATTGGATTCTGAACCCTGTACAACAAAGGGCTCCCATCTCATTATCCCACCTTTCCTACTGGAAGAACCAGAAAGAGATGCCTCATCCTTAGTCTCTGACACAATAACTGAGTAGGCAATCTTCTGACCTTGCTCTGCACCAGTAAGAAGAAAACTGATAAAAAGAAAGGTGAAAAATTCCTAGCGCTGGGAGAACAGCAGGCTGATTTCAAGTCTGTCACACAGGCGTATGAAATAAGAGCATCTAGAAAAAAATACAATCTCCCTTGGAACGTCTTCCCATTCCATCTACATTCCAGAATTCCGTGCTCCACTCCTCTTCCATCTAGGCTGAAGAAATGATGTAGGATCGTTTCTTTGGAAAGGAGAAATGTACAATTACTCATTACGGGCTAAAAAATGCAGAAAGTCACACCCAGCCCCAAGAGTCTGCTACTCTCACAAAGGAGGTCCTCATCATGACATAGGCTTCTTGTCCATTTTTCATTTGGGCAACTTTTCACTTCTCACACTTGTCCACCCCGGAGAACCACCCGTGGGGCTTACTGAAAATTCAGATTCCGTTGCTCCTTCCAAACCGAATCAGGATTTTCGGAGGGAAGGACCCAGGACTCTGCTCCTTTAGCAAGCTGCAGGTAATTCTTATGATGAGGTTCAGTTTGAAGAACACGGACCTTGGGATTATGCTTATCTTTTAAAAAAAACTCCATTCCTAATTTTTCCTTTGTGAGTCTCTGTGGAACTAGTATATTGATTAAAAGTACTGTGAACTGCACACATAAAGACAGAACCAGTCCACTTTGCAGGCTAGCCTTTTAGAGTAGCTAAGTAACGTATGCAAGTAAACTAGCAGCTCTTAATTGTTCAATCATTAGGCTGAGGGTTGGTGGGTCTAAGCCACTAAAGCAGATGAGGTTCCTCTAAATTTCAATTATTTGAGGCATTATCCTGCTTTCCAGCCAGACTGTGCAAAGGGATGGTCTCGTCTAGCATGTGCTAATTAAAGACCTGTACAGCCTGAAATGGTTAGGTCTAAAAGTCAAAAGACAATGCAAAATCAGGAGGAACTCCTGGAGAATGGCATAAAAAGAAACCAAAGTGGATCTGGAGGCGTGTTTTCTTTCACCATGCTAGATCCTGTGTGTAGCGCCAAACACAGCACATGGAAGGCATTTAATACACGGTTGGCGAGCGGAAGAACGAGGGTTGATGAATGAATGGGGTAGGTGTCAGTGATACAAATAAAAATGACATCATATAATTCAGTAGCATCTTTAGGGAAGAGAAAAGTGTCGTTTAAAATTTCTATAAATTACCCGGTAGAAAACTGTTACCAGCCTTTCACCTAAATAAATGACACTGAATTTATTTTCAAAACAGGAAAGGCAAATCCTGAGAGGCCCACAGAAGCACAAAAGTAAAGAGAAAGAAAGAGGAGGGAATGAGAGCTACAAAGGGGGTGCTTCGGGCGTAATAAAATCTGAGACGAGCAGTCCACAGGACGGCAGCACACAACGTCTTGGCAATGCTCCTCCCCCGAGGTGGGCCGGGGGCCGGAAACCACGTACAGCACATGTGAGGGACGAATTCACCAGAACCACGACAGAACACGGAAGGAGAGGAGAACTCAGGTCAAGGGAAGGCAAAGAGCCGGGGAAACAGAATGAAGAAGAAGAGTGGGGGGGGGGCGGTAACATGCAACGTGTCATGCGGGGACCTCGGTGAGGACGAGTGGGCACCAGGCAACACTCAGTGAGCACAGAGGACAGGTGAAGGCGAGACACACCTCAATCACAGAAACAAACCGCTTACCCTCTGCTTTAGTGGAAGTACCATCTTTAAGCAAATTAAAAAACAAAGGAAGGGATAACAGGGAACAGTTAGTAACAGTAAAAAAATTAAAAAGCAGAATGTTATTAGCTACTAAAAAAGCAAAAGTACAATTTAAAATAAAATTAAAAAAGAAGTTCAACAGCAAAGCAGATTCTGAAGCGAATAAGTGTGCCTTGTATTAAAATCGGCTTAGTATAATGTCGCTTTTGGCTTTTGGAAAACAGAACGAAACATGGCAAACCCAGGGTAGTGCCTCGGTTGGTACGGTGTTGATTTTCTCTTTTTAGCCAACCCTCATCCTCTTCAGAGTTTCTTTTTCTTAGAACCAAGTACCAGGAGCGTAAGGGGGAAAAACCAAAAACTAAAGTACTGAAGAGTCACCCAAAGAACAGAGGCGAGTAAGAAGCTGAGAGAAGCTAGCTCTAGCAATGACGCCTATCCCAGCTACACGGTGAGCAGCAGAAGCTGTACAGCGGGGTACCTGCGTCAAGGCCTATGGACTCCGTATCTTCCCTCACGTGTCTGGACTCTAGAAGTTCGGAAAAGGATCGTCAGCTTTAATGCTACACTTCTGCACAGATGTAATGTGCCAACCTAAGTAGTAATCGTAACAATTTCTCAGTAGGATTATGTGAAATTTCCAAGGGTTTTTGTTGTTTTGTGGTTTGGGACATGAGGCAAGTAGGGGCAGATGCTCTCTCGGGAGAGAACAGAATATTCCAGTCCTGTTATCTGAAGAGCTAATGAGGGGCTGAAAATTTATCCTCAGTGCTTTAAGAGGTCAATTCTGTATCATCAGACCAAAAGACCTGAGTGCTTTTACGAGCACTGAGGGAATTCTACATGGTCCCTATTAAAACATCCCAAATATGCACAAAAAAACAAAGACTACTGAGTACTCTAAAAGATGAGTTTTACTCAAATTTTCAAGCAATGAAACAAATACTGATGACAAACACTCAAGGTAGATAAAAGGTATTGAAACACGGGTACATACTTAAAAACTGATCTAAAATGAACAGAGCTACTCCACCCTGGGAGAGAATCATCCTGACTTCCCCCTTCCTTGATGACTACGTACCAACCTAACATCATAAACACTCTGATGTGATGCCACAGCACTAAAATGGTAGAAAGGGAAACCACTTAGTGGGTTCCTTCCCAATCACCTGTGTCTGAGGTAGTTCCCTAGAGAATCAAGACTGACTTAACTTAACTGACTTAACGTTCTAGAACACACGCCTCTCACACTGTAATGTTCCTAGCACAATCTGTTTTTTCACCTTACAGGATAACCGGTTACAAAGGACTTTTATATCCTTTTGTTTATCCCCCACATGTGTCTGAGCTGGGTGACTATTACTACAACTAATTAGGTGGAGAAACCAGCTTCAGAGACTGCGTGGCCCGTTCAAGGTCACCAAGCTAATCAGTGACAGCCCAGTAATCTTCTCTTGGTGCTCTCTCACTGGGCTTCCATGCTCAGAACACTTTTAGAACATTAGTTTCAGAAATGACTTTGGAATTGGTTTGTAAACCACATAAGTAATTTAGTCTCAATGTTCCATGAAGCTTAAATTGTATGTATTCAATTTCCAAAATCCAAAATAAAACCAATCCAGCGAAGTCTCCAGATTTTGGCTTGAACGACTTTGCTCTAACAAAAATAAAATGTAATCAATGATCAGCCTTACATATGGTGTTCAGTTGTCTGCTAAAAAACTGACCTACCATTCTGTCAGATATGAATTCTTTTAAAAATTTTTTTAATCCTTTGGCTATTGCTAGAGTAAGTACACTTTCCTCCCAAGGTGACACATGGAAGACCAACACTGTTCTGTGGAATATGGTTATGTTGGCTAGTAAATCCACCCCATTGCTCTAGAGATGCCCTTTGTTGTGGCCCCTGCGTCCCGCACCTCTGCCGCCCCAGTCATTCTCAAATTGGGAAACACCTAACCACGACGGTCTTTGGTGATTCCCTCACTAAACCCTCTGATTCTGTCCCCACCGATGTCCTGAGGGGGAAAAAGCCAGCTCTGGCAATAGGGGAGGTGGCATAGGGGCTGGCTGGGCTGCCACGGAAGGGGGGAGAGAAGCTGAAGGGTGGGTTCAGTGTGACACGCCGTGCGAGCACCCAGGGAACACTCAACAAAGGGTGGCTGGGAACCAGCAGTAAGTGCACAGAGCTACTTATACTTAAATATCAGCCCTAAAGCAGTGAGAATTTCCTCAATGATCGTGTTTTATAATTTGCTAAATAAATCTGAGCAGGGCTAACTGTAATCTCAAACAGCAGAACTGGGGGGAAAGGAGGTGGGGTCTGGTTACCTAAGGATGCGTATGACCCAGGAGGCAAGGCTGCTGCTGAGCTGAAAGGCGTAGCTCCCGAGGCCGAGGACACCTTGGACTTGGCACTGGCTGCTGCGTTCACGTCAATATCGCTTCGCGACCGCTGGAGCGATCCGGTCGTTGACACGGATTTGGTACTAACTGTAGAAGCTTGAGTGGTAAAGAAGGAAACATCAGTAGGGACTACACTAGAATTGTAAACATACATCGTTAAAACTTGTTTTGGTTTTCTTTAAAAAAAAAAAAAAGTAGGCTCCACGCCCAGCATGGAGCCCAATGCGAGGCTTAAACTCACATCCCTGAGATCAAGACCTGAGTGGAGATCAAGAGTCAGACACTTAACCGACTGAGCCACCCAGGCGCCCCTTTCTAGCAAGTTTTGACAAAGGCTGGAGTGCGTGAGCAATGACATGCTGTCTTTCCTGGTCATTGAAGACAGTTCGGCCAACGCAATGCTGAGGGAAATTAAGTGACCATGACCATACACACGCATTCCATTTCTTTTCTTGTAATCAAAGACTATAAACCCTAAAGAAACGGCCCCTCTTTCTGGTTAATGTGAGGAGTGAGGTAATGAAAGAGCGTGCACATCTGGCCAGTTTCTGCACGATGTGGCCTAAGCAGGCACCCCGACTCCGATGCCCTCCTGCTCTCGGGGAACATTCTACTCTCCCACCTCTAACAGCCACCGCACCACTGCTGCTGGGGCTGCTCCAAGCATCACCAGCTGTCCTCACTCTTGTCCAGTGACCGGAGCAAGGGAGCAGCACTATTCAAGTGGAAAGGTCCCAGGGCTCCCCTTCTGCGTGTGTTCCTCACCGCCCTTGGCCGCCGGCGCAGTGGAGCTCTGCTGGGCATAGCCGGAGCACCGAGAGCAGCAGGCTCTGCAAACCCGAGGGGCACCTGAAAGCAGGTGGCTGGCTTCCGGTGGCGGAACAGCCCCTGGGAGCAGCACCGGAAACAGAGGCCTCCCCGAGGGGGCCTTCACCATGGCCGTCGGTCTTACCTCTAGAGGTGGTGCTTCCAGTAGGACTTCTTTTGGCAGAGAGCGGCCGGCTGAAAATAAACGTACACGCATGTTCATTATTACCAAATGTGCACTTCATCTGCGTTCGCCCAAGTACTGTCTACAACAGGAAACTAGGATAATGAAGGAATCATTTCAGGGTTTTCCGAATTTCCCAGGTAACTGGGACCACAATCTTATAAATCCCTGATTTCAGACAAAGCTGCAGCATTCTATTTTGGACTATCTTCCAAACATTCAGAGAGAAGTCATAACTCAAGACAGAAGTTAGAAATCCAGAGTGCGGACGATAATACATTTACTCCCAGATTCCTAACACCCCTCCCCTTTCCAGACTTGTCTGCAAGTTAACCCTCATAATCTCCTAGAAGACCCTGTGAATGATTCACTTATTTCAGTCCAAAACCGTATTCTAGGGCAGCCATATAAATTTAACTAGACACTACTTAGAGCAGAGACCGAGGCCACCTTTTCCTTACCATTCCCCAAGTATCTTACCTAGCAGCAGAACCCATCTGAAGTAAGAGGGGACTAGAAGAGGCACACACACATTAAAAAAAAAAAACAAAAAAAAAAACCAGCTGGAATTTGTGTCATGTAGCAAATCTTTCAACATAAAATCTCCCACGAATGAAAAGCACAGCTGAAGTGCTTACTTCAGACTCTCCTGAGAGCTCGAGGATGAGCGGTCGGACTGGGGCAGAGACACGATGCTGTCGGAGTTCTTCAGGTGGGACTGCAGGGCCTTCTGGTAGGAGGACTCGAGGGTGTGGTACAAGTGCTCTGCTTCTCTGCTGAAGTGACTGTGAAAACCCCAGTAGCACCTAGGGAAGACACGCAGCTTGCCGTAGTCAGGATCGCACGGGGCTCCCGCCAAGCTCTGTGGCCCCCCATGCAACACAGTCAAGGACTACTACCCGTGGTGCCCTGCCACTAGGAGCAGCACCAGGTGAGGAAGACAGGGTGGCTGAAGGAGGCCTGTGGTGACTCCGGGCCGCACAACTTACTGGCTCTTCTGACACTGGGCAAGTTCCCGGACTTCTCTGCATCTTAGTCTCACTTATAAAACGGAAACTAAAGGGCCTAACTTGTGAGACTGGGGAGCGTTCGGGACGATGGAGCTAAAACGTCTAGAACTAGACTGAGAACACGGAGGGGGCTCATCCATGGCAGCTTTTATAAAAGCGACTGGACACTTGTCAACCTGAAGTATTTACAGTTGCCTCAGATAACATGTACGAGAGAGAGGCACAAAGATGTGCTGAGCTACTTGAACTCTGTATTGCGGCATGACCAAAGAACCAGAAAAAATTGGGGAGGGGGAAGACACATACAAGGATAAAAATAGCATTAAGTACATGACTAACAACTCCATTCCTAAGAGTTGTGAGCAACTATTACCTACGTCACTTATTTTGGTAGGAACTGCCCGAGCTGAGACTGTGATAACCACTTCAGTGTGTTGATGAGGTTCTCCGACCTCAGAAACTGGGGACCAGAATTTAACGGAGAGCGGTCCAAGAGCAACAGGGACTTTGTCAGGAGGTATCAGTGCAGCTAAGTCAGACAGTAATATTCCAGGTGAGTGAGAAGAGAGGCTGGCTACCTGTGTCCAGTAGAAGAGCTGGTCAATATGAAAGCACAGAACCACCACCCCAGGTGCAACATTCACAGCACTCATCTACACACGGCCCAAGACGGCATAAGTCTCAGCATCTGACTCTTGGCTGTTACAGGCACAATGACAAAATTATTCCTGGGGAGGCACCGAATGCACGGTCACGGCCACATGACTGGAGCATGACCCACCTAATGGCAAAAGTGCCTCACACATGGGATGGCAACGGCAAGTCACCACTGCGGCAATCCCCAGCATCACCTCAACCCACCTGCCCCTCACCACGTTCACACCTTCCCAAGCAGCACCTGAAGCTTGCAAAGATACCGGCACAGGGGAAGGATCTCTGGGACTGTGATTTTTCACAGGAAAGCAAAAGGTCCCTTTGGGTTCTGACCTGGCTCCTAACAGAGCCTAATGAGTAAGAAAATGCACTGAGTGTGCATACAAGTGCTTGTCTGATTCATGTACTCATTTGTCATAAATTTCAAAATGAGCATGCTGTTGTGTACCTCAGTCCTGCTTATATTCAAATACTGTCAATCAGTCTTTCAGGCCTGGGCACCTGAACAGCCTTCTAAACAAAAATTTAGAGAAATACTGTGACATGGGCTTTTGAGGTCGTATTTCAAAGTCACAATTAACAAAACATGTTCATGTAACTTAATGAGCTTTGAATAAGGCAATCTAGACAACACCCTGAAATTTAAAAACATTGAATTAAAAACAAGTGGTGTACAATAAACACTTACTTTCTGGCTTCTATCCTTGCTTCGGAATCCGCATCATGTATTCCCTTCTTTATTGTTTCGGCTAATACTGATATATGTCTAGACATTAAGAAGAGAAAGCAGTAACAATCATTAACATGTGGTTTTATGCGGGTGAAAACTGGTGTGAGAACTTCAAATCGGCACATGGAACCTAGAGCCTCTGTGCCCAGTGAGTCAACCAACATGCAGCTGAGAAATTAGAGCTCCCTTCCCCGTCGCTCTCCTAACTTCTACCTCCGTCTCGGGGCACCCCCGCCCTCCATCAGCTGCCCCCACCTAAGTACCCCAAGTTTTTAAAATAATGGCTGATTCTTCTTACTTCCTACTTATTTAGCACAACCTTTGAGGAACCCAACGAACAAGGCTACAAGTCTCTACCTTTCCATGGCCAGCAGTAGTTTCTATGGAAATTATGAGGTAATAATCATCAGAATACTGGCTCACATTTCTGTAATTAAACACAATGTTTTTTTCAAGTTCCACTATGCAACATGAAAAAATTTATAAAATCATGTCACAATTTTATAAATAGGTGTTCTCTTTAGCTTATGTTCTGCCCTAGCTGAGAGGAAGTTATTAAAGTGTCTCTTTGAATGTTTGACAGATTTTTAAGAAAAGAAAGAAGGCTGCAATGAGTTAGTCTCACAGAACAAAGAGTAGTTACCAATCTTATGGCCTGTTCAGAGTCTTTGCCTCATTCCTTCATTTAGTAACTGTTTAGCAAGTACCCACTAAGTGGCGGATGTTGAGTGAGGAGGCGAATGAATAAATACTGAGTTCCTCACTATCACCGAATAGAGGATACAATACCCAAGAGATGAAAGAATGCACGACTATCTTCTAGATTCAAGGTATTTGCAGGTGAAATTTTACCCCTGGGAGGCATGGCTTTGTTTCCTCTCTGCTCCCTGCAGTATGGAAAGGGACTCCCAGAAGTACTTCATTAAAATGCCCCTAATAAAGTGATGAGTATGCTATAAAGTTCCTCACAATATGTAACATTAAAAACTGGGTGGCACAACATCATCATCTCTCCAAATTTAACTCACCAAGAATAACAGGCACCTCAAATTCAAAGAAACTAAAAATGGCAAAGAATGAATCTTGAAATTAAGAGACATCCTTCTTCAAGAATCCTGCCATAATCCTACCTTTTATCATGATGATGTGAAACATACCAACACCAACCTGAATAAAGAGAAAACTGCTGACTTTCCGATTCAGGGGGATCAGAAAGAACTGTGAGATGAGAGAAATTCCTTTAAGGATCTAAGAGTTACACCTGGCCTGCCAAGAGCAGCTTGGAATATTTTCCTGGTTGGAAGGGACAGGAATGTCAGGCACCAGGGTGAGAGTCAATAAGGAGTTAACCGTGGCTGACTTCCAGGGAAAATGGCAGAGTAGGAGGACCCTAAACTCACCTCCTCCCACAGACACAACTAGGTATCACCCACATCATTGTAAATAACCCAGAAAACTACCTGAAGATTAGCAGACCAGACTCTGCACAGCTAAGTGTAGCGAAGAGGCCACACTGAAGAAGGCAGGGAGGGCACAGACTTTCTGTATGAGGGAGAGACACTGGGGACACACAGAGGGGAGAGGACCAAACCCTCACACCAAGCACCCCAGGCACGGGGAACCCGCATGAAAACCAGAGGGGCATACTTTTGTGAATTCTTACAATCAGTGGGGCTTAACACCGAAACTTTAAAAATCAGTAGGAGGGAAATAGGAAACTGAGTCCCCACCCTTAAAGAGCACAACAAACAGCCCCTCAGAGATACAGCAATAGAAGCAGCAGTTTGAAAAACACCTGGGGTATACACAAGGAAGATTGCTTTACTGATGTGAGAGCATGAGCCAGAGGGGAAGGGATCCCGGGGAGACTTCACCAGGAACAGAGGAGCTGGTACGCACCATTTCCCTGCCCCACCCCCTGCCCAGGGGTTACATAAACACAAACCGGCCAGGCCTTGGTTCCAGGTACCCCCCCCCCCCCCGCACAGTGGACCCACGCAACACTTGCTAACACTGCCTGCGCTGTGGTAACATTCTCCTGGGGTCCCCCCCCCGATATATCCTTGGCCACAACCCAACAAAGCAGTGCCACAAGCTTGGCATGGTGCAAGCAGCCCCGACAGGGATGGGTTGGCACCTCTGCAAAGTGACTCCTGCCCTGAGGAGAGGGGAAGCTAACCGCACACACCAGTCAAGACTGTGGCCCCAGCAGTGGGCTGGAGTCAGACAGCTGCTCTAACTGTACGCACCACCCACCAACAAAAGCTTCTCAGGGGACAACAGAAGGAAAGCGCCCAGCAGTATGTACTACCGCATCTCTGACAATGCCCAGTGTGAACGTGACTCAAGCCCAAGCCGGCCCCAGACCGGCCCATGAACAACACAGGGATCCAGTGCTGCCCACGATAGGCAGAGCCACTGCAGAGGACTGGACTGAAAGAAAAAGCGGCTCAGCCACAACATCAGGATACATGCAACACATGGAGACACCCCTGCAGTGCCAGTTTGGGTGAACAGGGGACAGTGCCCTGCAGGGCACGACAGGACCTCTTCTTCATAAGGCAGGAGACAGAGCTGACTTTCCTAACACACTGAAATAGACAGAGTTAGACAAAGTGAGAAGAAAGAGATACATTTCCCCAGTGTAAGAACAGGACAAAATCAGAGCAAGAGACCTAAGCAAAATGGAGATAAGTAATATGCCTGATAGAGAATTTAAAGTAATGATCAAAGCTACTCACTGGACTTGAAAAAAGAGTGGAGGACCCCAGTGAGAACCTTAAGAAAGAGATAGAAAACATAAAAAGGAACCAGAGATGAAGAACTTAATAACTGAAATTAAAAATACAATAGATGGAATAAACAGAGACTAGAGGAAGCAGAAGAATGGATCAGCAACTGGAGGACAGAATAATGGGAAGCAATCAAGCTGAACGGGAGAGAGGAAAAAATAAAAAATGAAAACAGACTTAGGGAACTCAGTGACACCATCAAGCATAGTAACACTTGCATTATACTGGAATCCCAGGGGAGAAGAGAGAGGAAAGGGGGGCAGAAAATTTATTTGAAGAACTAATAGCTGAAAACTTCCCAAATCTGGGGAAGAAAAAAGAAATCCAGATCCAGGAGGCCCTGAGAGCTCCCAACAAAAACAACACAAAGAGATCCACACCAAGACATAGTAATTAAAATAGCAAAACGTAGTGATAAAGAGAGAATTTTAAAAGCAGCAAGAGGAAAAAAACAGTTACATACAAGAGAAACTCCTTAAGGCTATCAGCTGATTTTTCAGAAGAAACTTTATGGGCCAGAAGGGAGTGGCATGATGTATTATTCAAAGTGCTAGTGAAAAGAAAACAAAAACAAAAAACAAAACAACAAAAAAAACCCCTTCAGCCAAGACATACTCTATCTCTCCTCTTCCGAATGATAGCCTTGCTGGATAAAGTTTTCCAGACAAATGAAAGTTAAAGAAATTCATAACCCCTAAACCAGCCCTACCAGAAATGTTAAAGTGGGCTCACCGAGTGGAAAGGAAAGACCATAAGCAGGAGTAAGAAAAGTAGGAAGCATAAAAGCAGTAAAATTAAGTACAGCTATAAAAATCAGTCAAGAGATTCACGAAAGAAAAGAGTAAATATGACACCATATACCTAAAATGTGGAGAGAAGTAAAGAATGGGTTCAAACTTAAGCAACCATCAACTTTAGACTGCTATATGCATAAAATGTTATGTATAAATTAAAAACCAGTAAAACCATAAATTAAACACCAGTAATACATATACAAAAAAAAAAAAAGAGAGAGAGAGAGAGAAAGGAAGCCGAATATACCGCTAAAGAAGTCAGCAAACCATGAGAGAAGAGAGCAGGAACAGAAAGGAACAGAGAAGAACTACATAAACAGTTGTAAAACAAGTAACAAAATGGCAATAAGTACCTACCTATCAATAACTACTTTGAATGTAAATGGACTAAACCCTCCAATCCAAAGACACAGGGTAACAGAATGGATAAAAAGCAAGACCCATTTATATGCTGCCTACAAGAGACTCATTTCAGATTTAAAGACACACACATACTGATAGTGAAGGGACAGAAGAGCATCTACTATGAAAATGGAAGTGAAAAGAAAGCCGGAACAGCAACACTTATAACAGACAAAATAGACTTTAAAACAGTATACAATCTGGGGTGACTGGGTGGCTAAGTCAGTTAAACATCTGACTCTTGGTTTCAGCTCAGGTCACGACCTCAGGGTTGTGGGATTAAGCCCCACGTCAGACACTGTGCTGAGCGTGGAATCTGCTTGAGATTCTCTCTCCCTCTCTCTCTGCACTCCCTCACTCGCACTCTCTCTTTCTAAATAAATAATCTTGGGGCGCCTGGGTGGCTCAGTCGTTAAGCATCTGCCTTCGGCTCAGGTCATGGTCCCGGGGTCCTGGGATTGAGCCCCACATCAGGCCCCCTGCTTGGAGGGAAGCCTGCTTCTCCCTTTCCCACTCCCCCTGCTTGTGTTCCCTCTCTCGCTGTGTTTCTCTCTGTCAAATAAATGAATAAAATCTTTATAAAATAAATAAATAAATAAACAATAAATAATCTTTCCAAAAAAAAAGGCAGTATACAATCATAAAGGGACCAATCCAACAAGAAGATGTAACAATGGTAAATGTTTATGCACCCAACATGGGAGCATTCCAATACATAAAACAACTAATAAGAAACAAAATAAGGGAAGTAATTGATAGTAATACAATAATAAGGGACTTTAACAACCCATTTACATCACTGGATAGATCACCCAAAGAGAAAACCAACAAGGAAACAGTGGCTTTTAATGACACATTGGACCAGATGGATCTAACAGATATATTCAGAGCATTCCATTCTAAAACAGCAGAATACACGTTTTTTTCAAGTGCACACAGAACATTCTCCAGAATATACCACATATTAGGTCACAAAACAAGTCTCAATGAATTGAAAACGATCAAACTCATACTATGACTATGCATCTTTTCCAACCATAACATTATGAAACCAGAAATCAACCACAAGAAAAATTGGGAAACACCACAAATAAATGGAAGTTATATAACATGCTTCTAAACAATGAATGGGTCAACCACAAAATCAAAGAGAAAATAAAAAAGTACATGGAGACAAATGAAAATGAAAACACACAGTCCAGAATCTTTGGGATGCAGTAAAAGCTGTTCTAAGAGAGAATTTTGTAGAATATAGGCCTACCTCAAGAAGCAAGAAAATCGAAAATAAACAACCTAACAAAACCCAAAAACTAGTTCTAGTTGAAGGAAAGAAATAAAAATTAGAACAGAAATAAAACAGAAATGAAAAAAACAGATCAATGAAACTAGGAGCTGGTTCTTTGAAAAGATCAACAAAACTCATCAATATTCAGCTTGACTTATCAAAAGAAAACAAAAGAAGACTCAAACAAAATCAGAAACAAAAGAAGAAAAATAATAACCAACACCAAAGAAATACAAAGGATTATGAGATTATGAAAAATTATATGCCAACAAACTGGACAACCTAGAAGAAGTAGATAAATTCCTAGAAACCTATAACTCCCTAAAACTGAAGCTGGAAGAATTAGAAAATCTGAACAGACTGATTACCAGCAGTGAAATTGAATCAGTAATCCAAAAACTCCCAACAAAAGTCCAGGACCAGATGGCTTGACAGGTGAATTCTACCGACTAGTCAAAGAAGAGTTAATAACTATCTTCTCAAACAATTCCAAAATACAGAAGAGGAAAGAAAGTTTCCAAAACTCATTCAATGAGGCCAGCATTACCCCTATACCAAAATCAGATAAAGACTATAAAAAAAGAGGGGTGCCTGGGTGGTACAGTCAGTTAAGCATCCGACTCTTGATTTCAGCTCAGGTCATGATCTCACGGTGGTGAGATTGAGCCCGGCGTCTGGCTCCATGCTCAGCCTGGAGTCTGCTTGAGATTCTCTCTCTCCCTCTGCCCCTTGCCCCAGCTCATGCACTCTCTCTCTCTCTCAAAATAAATAAATAAAATCTTTTTCTAAAAAAAAAGACTACAAAAAAAAGAGAACTACAGGCCAGTACCCTGATGACACATATGCAAAAATCCTCAACAAAATACTAGCAAACCAAATCAACAATACATTAAAAACATCATTCGCCACCATCAAGCAGGATTCCTAGGATGCAAGGGTGGTTCA